TTGGTGTGTAGTTACGCGGGCCTCACTCACAGCTATCCTCCTACCTCAGCTTCCCAGAGTGCTGGGATTGCAGGCATGCAGCACCACGCCCAGCAGCTTGAAGTCACGTTCATTCTTTCAGCAAAAAGTCACTGACTTTTCCAGGTACGCCTGCAATCCCAGCAGTCTTGGGGGCTGAGGCAGGAGGATCAACAGGAGGTTGAGGCCAGCCTAGGCTACACAGTGAGATCCTGTCTGAGAAACCCAAAGCAAAACAAAACAAGTAGGAACCTTAAGGGTCAAAAGGCCAGCGTGGAAGTCTCTCCAAGCTGGCTCTTTTCAGTAATCCAAAACAAAGCTCATTTGCTTTCTCAGTACCTGTACCTGTTCCTTGGCCAGAAATCCTTATCCAATCCCAATCCACCCTCTCCCCAGCTGGAAACCTAGGAAACATTGTCTCCCCGCCCTTGCCCTCTGAGCACCTGAACTGGATTAACTGGACTGCGCTGTATGACTGGTGTCTTTCTGCTCACCTCCGCCTTGGATCCTGGAGCAACCAGAGCCTCCCACAACCCACTCTCCCAGCCAGCAGCTTCTGGGGCCTTCAGACACCCTTAGAGGCTGTTTGCGGCAGACACAGAAAGCTGACCCTGACCCTCTCACGTCCTGCAGATCTGGGACCTGCCCCTTCACCTCAAAGATGGCTGCGCCCCAGTCTCACCCCTCCGGCTGGTTCCTGAACCTCAACTTCACAGCCAGTCCCTGGGCCCTTTCCAGGGAACTACTACTCAGTTCGAGGTCCACTTCCCTCCAGAGTCTGCTCGGACAATGCTGCTCCAGAGTCCCTTATTTTTCTTAGCGTTTTTGCACATCCCTCCCTGATAGCACGTGGCACTATACTGTCATTTTCAGGGGTGTGGTGGCCACACCTGTAATCTCGACCCTGGGGGGCTGAGGCAGGAGGATTACAAGTTCAAGGCCACCCTAAACTACACAGTGAGGCCCTATGACAAAGAAAACAGAAAAAAAAAAACACACATCATAATTGGGGGGGGGGTACCGGGGATCGAACTCGGGACCTTGAGCTTGTGTAGCAGGCGTTGGAACCACTGAGCTACATCCCCGGCCCCTCACACATCATAATTTTTATATTCCTATCTATCTCCCCCTCTACCGTGAAATCATTCCCTTAAGTGTTTGTAGGGTAACAGGGGCAGGGGAGTCGGGGGTGACAGTTCCAAAAATACCTGATTATATCACCAACACATTAAATGGCAACACTTTACAGAAAAACTGTATGGAGCAGTATGGCTCAAAGTTAGCGGGATATCAGCATAAGCACTGTGGACAATTTAGGGCCAGCTCTTAAGCACTAAAATGTAGTAAAGGGGGCTTCAGAATCAGAAGCCCTGGATTTGAATTCCAATCCTGTCACCTATAAGCCAGGTTACTACAAATTACTTAACCTAAATGTTTCCTTGCTCAAAAAATATGCAAAAAAAGAACCTGCTAAACTGGACGTGGTAGCCCACCCCTCTAAACCCAGCACTCTGGAAGGCTGAGGCAGGAGGATCACAAGTTCTAGCCCACCCTTGGTAACTTAGCAACTAAGCAAGATGCTGCCTCAAAAATAAAAAAATAAAAAAGGGGTGGGAGATGCAGCTCACTGTAAAGGCCCTAGGTTCAATCCCTGGTACTGCATTAAAAAAAAAAAAAAGCCCTTGCTTGACCACACTGGTTTAGCTGACAGGACGATGGTGGTCCCTGCCCAGCACAGAGCAAGCTTCTTGGGCTGTTAAAAAAGGCCAATCCTTTCCCAAGTGCAGAACACTGCTAAAATGCCCAAGATCACACATTCTGGCTTTGGGAGGGAACACTTTCCACTCTTCTAACACCTTGACCACACCCTAACGCCCAGCCAGTCGGCTTGTGGAAGTAGTCGGAAGAAGACCTAGCAACAGACAAGCGACAGCGTTCAGTTCAATCCAATGTCATCACCGGTGTTGCTGGTGTCTGGGTTTGGCTTTTTAGCTAGGGACTTGCTGGGTAGTTCAGGCTGGCCTTGAACTCACTGTACAGCCCGGGCTAGCCTCAAGCTTGCTGTCCTCCTCCTGCCTCAGCCTCCCAAGTGGGATGACAGCCTGCACCACCACACCCAGCGCATCACCACTGCTAAGTTTACAACACCTGCCCTACACACAGCATCATCCTGGGACATGAAAACAATGCATAGGTTATGGCATGAACAGTGTAAATAATGAGGCCTGGAATGCAGATGCCTATAGAAAATGAACTCAGTCATGGGGCTGCTCCCTGCAGCAAGGAACTCACCCTGATGCACTGTGTCAATAACAAAGAGCAACGTGGTTAAAGAACTTGGCTGCAAGGCTGGGGATTTAGCTCAGTGGTTTGGCCGCCTGCTACGCAAGCCCAAGGACCAGAGTTCGATGCCCCATACCAAAAAAAAAACAAAAAACAAAAAACACTTGGCTGCAAAGCACAAGAATCCAAGGTGATCAATGAGAGAGACCAAAAGTGCCTAGATGTAAAATCTTCTTGCAGGGCAGTGGTGCATGCCTATAATCCCAACACTTGGGAGGCTGAGGCAGGAGGAGTCCCAGGAGTTCAAGGACAGCTATAGTGAGTTCAAGGACAACCTGAACTACAGAGCAAGACCCTGTCTCAAAAAAATAAATAAAATCTTCTAAAGTTATTGGTCTAGTTACAACAGTCTTTATTTTTCAAGGACTGTATTTGCAAAACTTTTCATTTTGTTAAAATATGGAACTCTGCTGTACCTAATTTCCTAATTTAGAGCAAGAGATCACTGTCTTGCCTGTTTTAATACTGAAATATATGACTGAACTTTCAATAATATAAATGCAATATTTTTTAACCAAATCAATGTCACCTACCGTATCTGTGATACAAGTGTCCACCAATAAAGAACACAAAGGCAAAAGCTTTACAAGCGTCTCTGGTAAAAACTACTCACTTAATCCCAGAATTTAAAAAATTAGATCAAAAAAATTTTTTTAGAACTTTAAAGAGATTTTTCCAAAAACTTTTTGTTCTAGGTTCTGGTGAGAATAAAATGGCCAGTTATTGAACTGTCTCGTCATGGTCAAGCCAATTAATTTGTTAAAGTTAACTGTATCTTGATCTTACATCGGTGAATTTAATTTTTCACGTTTGTTTTAAGATTCTGTTGACCTTGAGAAGTTTCTTCCATTTCTTCCACAAAGGTTACATGATTTCCTTATCTGGTCACCAAAGAACATACACCTTCTTCCAGAACTGAGAAGAGGTATGTTTGAGATTAGATGGGATCTTAACATGGTCTATACTGTACACTCTATTGATGTGAAAATAATTTCTTGGTGAAAACTTAAAAACATACACAGTAAACACTTCTAACACAGGGACTATTTAGAGATCATAAGGAAAAAAAGTAATTTCTGGGAGTAAAGGAGTACTGAAAAACAAGACTCTACCTTAAGAGAAATTACTCATTAAAATGAATATTAAAAATTTTCAGGGCCGGGGATTTAGCTCAGTGGTTCTGGTGCCTGTCTCTTTTGCAAGCAAAAGGTCCCGAGTTTGATCCCTGGTAAAAAAAAAAAAATTTTTTTTTAAATTTGATTAATATTAAAAAGGGAGTACTTTTAGGAACTACATAAAACAAAGTGTGTCTAAAGAGATCTCTTGGTATTTCCTGAGTGAAAGAAATTGCTCAATATTTTTCTTTTTTCTTTTTTGGTACCAGGGAGCCAACACCGGTCCTTGTGCTTGGGCAGCAGGCAGCAAAATCACTGAGCTAAATCCCTGGCCCAATATTTTTCTTTTTTAAGGTTCCATTCCTGATGTACTTGAGGAAAACAAAGTCAGTAACACAGAATGAACAATCATGACTTTCTAAACAACCAAGCATCACAATCAACAAAATTATCTGCCTCCTGTCCTACCTGACCCTTAACGCAGGACCTGGCTCTCCCTGGAGAATTCTAGTCACTAAGTAAACACACGGAATACAATGTAGCTAAAAGCAGAGTATGGGACTCTTCAGAGTTCAACCAACCTGATGGATGACTATTTTCATAACACTGGAGGGAAGTTTACATGAACCAGAGGAAGAAATGAGGAGGTAGCCTGAAGAGGGCTCAGCCAGCTGGTGTCCTGAAAAGGAAGCTCCTTATTTGTAAAAAAGCAGAGGAAAGTCTGTAGGATCAGAGGAAATTCCTTGGACCCTAATTGCTACTGTTTTACAACTATCTTATTAAGCAACCCTTACCACATCAAGGAGGGGATCTGTATGGCCCCCCTCAGAAATGACAAAGGGAGAGTTTACAAAGTCATTCGCTTCCATGTGCTCATCCATTTCAGTCTTGCTACAGCAAAACACAAGTTAGAAAGGGAAAAGAACTAGGAAAAGGTATAGTAAAAGAACAACAGAAGTCACCAGTGGTCTGTTAAATTACTAGAATTTTAACTGGAATCCTCTAAACAAATAAAAAGATACATATTTTGTTAAATATCAAGGCATGTATCTGTAAGCCACCTCCTAAACACAAAGGCATATATATATATATGCAACTTATACAAAATATCCACACACATTTGAGGTGTCAAATACTTTTTTTAAAAACATACACCCAAACATTCTGAATCCATCCAAAATTATTCTTTAAATTCCTAAAGATACACACAATTTACCATGATCTGAACCTACCCCTTCTTTCTTGAATACCCTGTTTAAAAAGGCACAACTCAAGATGTTCTCCTCTTCTTCAGGCGCTAAAAAGACGAAAAGAAGCAAGCGGAGTTCCGAATGAAGAAAGAAGGCAACAGAATAAAGGAAAATAAAACCAGAGACCTCCCAAATTCATTTTATTCTTGGAAAATGTCATCTCCATTCCTTCCCTAAGCTCCAAAGCCCGGCACCTCTGGCGCAATACCATCCCCATCCAAAGCGCCAAAGAGTTGCCAACTAAATCCCTCGAGGCGTCCCCCAACCAGCTCACCTCATCAGCGCTCAGCTCCTCCATCGCCTTCCTCTTAATGGTGACAGGCGTTAGGAGAGGTCCTTCTGTTCTCGAGACCAGGGCGGGAGCAAGGCGAGGGGAAGGTGTCTAGCAGGCTGTCTGGTCCCCCGAATGGGGGAGGTTTCAGAATTGCATAGTCAGAGGTTACAAAATAAGAACACGAGGCACTGAACTGCCTTGACTGGGTCGCTCCCGTCGCCTCAGAGAGTCCCCCAGCTGCCCGCGCCCCCAGCAGCCGCCTCTGGCCGCCGCTGCGACAGGGTGAACTGAAGGCGCCACTCACTGCCCTCGCCCCCCAGGTTACTCTGAGGGTCGGCGCAGTCTCCAGCTCCGTTCGCGCCCACAACCTGCGTGTGGCGGCAGAGCAGCTGCGTCTTCTCCAGCGAATCCTGCTTGCTCCTTCCTACCCTCGGCCTGTGGCGGGAACGACTCCACCGCACAGTGGATGCCCCGAAGCAAGGAGACCCCCCAAAGCCGCCTTGGCGGAGCCCTGCGCTGTATAGAGAAGTCCCTCCCCTCTAAAAGCAGGCCGGACACGCCCCTCCTCCACGCTGGAACCCGGCCCGGGGGGAGGGGGAGGATGGACTCGCGAGGCTCTCGTTGGACGCGTAAATCCTCCTACCCCTCCACCCCTACTCTTACCCCTCTCCCCACCAAGTATTATTCATCAAAACAACAGGGCGGCCATCTTTGAAGGGGATCACGTGATCCCGCGGGCGAGGAGGGGTTTCGGGCTCCAGGACGCAGCAGCCAATAGGCGGCGGGTATCGCACCACCGATTTCCTCTCGCCTGCGTAGTCTCCCCGCCCTCGCCCCACCCCTTTCCACCGGGGCAACACTGAGCGGGGGAGGGGCGAGAAGGGCTGCAAGCCGGTGGGGAGCGGGCGGGGCGGGGAGTTGCCGTGGCGACCGCGCTAGGGGCGGGGGCGGGGTGCCGGCCCAGGTAGGCTATCGGGGAAGCTCCGGCAGCGGCCGCAGAGTGGCTGGATGGCCTGAAGGGGGCGTGCGCAGCGCCCCCGCCGTTCGCAGGCGCCTGCTGTGTGGTGACGTTCGGCCCCGTCACTCACTGCCGCCTGGACGCTGCCACCTGGGATGAGCAAAGGGAAGACGTGTCCTTTCTGCAGGGAGCGTCATCTTTCGTTCCCGCCCCTCCCCCGGGACCCGATGCAAGGAAGCTAACACAAAGACTGCCATTCAATTTTATCTTACTTTGGCCCTTTTTTAAAGAGACGCTTTTGCAGGCGCTGGCACACCTGTAATCCTAGCACCTGGGAGACTGAAGCAGGAGGATCGCTGTGAGTTCAAGGCCACCCTGGGCTAAATAATAGTGAGTTGAAGGGCAGCCTGAATTACATAATGAGCGAGACCCTACCTCAAAAAAACAAAACCAGAATTTATACAGAACTGAGTTGAGGGATCGGAGTAACAGTAACAGTATCATGAAATTTCAGGTACAGTATTGCTGCAGATGGAGAATGTATTGTGTCGGATGGTTTACTAAGCAGTAACCTTTTTTAAAAAAAAAACAACCAAAAAAACCCCAGTTGCACTATGTAGCCCAGGCTGGCCTTGAACTCAGTCCTCCTGCCTCAGCCTCCCCAGTGCTGGAATTACAGATGTGCACCACCACACCTGGCCTAAACCATAACCTTTTTGTTGTTGCTAAATTCTTTTATTGGTACATTTTAGGTATACAACACAATTACATTTCTCATTGGGAATTGTACCTTTACATAATGCATCTTGGTTCTTATTTTTTCCCCATTCCTAGCCCTCCCTTCACCCCCTCCACCCTTCCCTATTTACAAAGACTTTATTTCCATTTTTTCCATTTCTCAGCATTTTTCCTTTCCCTTCTTTCCTTTCCCCTGCCCCTCCCACTACCCCTACCCCTTTGGACCTTTTCTTCCTATTTTGCACTATCAATTATTCATTCTAATCATTGGTACATTTTAGGTATACAATATAATGACATTCATCATTGGAAATTTGCACCTTTACATAATCTCTCTTGGTTCTTATTTTTCACCCTTGCCCAGCCCTCCCTTCAGCTCCTCCATTCCTCCCTCTTTACAAAGATCTTGTTCCTATTTTTCCTTTTTCTCATATTAATCCCATTCCCTTCTATCCTTTCCCCTAGCCCTCCCACTTCCTTCCCCCTTGTCCCTTTTCTTTCTTTTTTTGGTACCAGGGATCGAACTCAGGTCCTTCAACTTGCGCAGCAGGTGCCGGAACCACTGAGCTAAATCCCCGGCCCCCCTGTTCTTCCTATTTCACATTACCAATTATACATTTTAGTCCTTATTTACACTTTCAGTTTCTCACACCAGAGAAACTATTTGGTATTTATACATGTGTGTCCTATTTATTTCACTTAAGAGTATCGCCTCAATGTGCATCCACTTAGCTATAAATGTCTCTAATTTCTCATTTTTTATGGCAGAGTAGTACTCCATTTTATAAAAAAACCCCACATTTTCTTTATCCAGTCTCCAGTTGATGGGCATTTGGGCTGTTTCCAAGTTTTAGCTATCATGAACTGTGCTGCTATGAACATAGGTGCACATATATCACTGTGGTATGATTCTTTTAATTCTTTGGGGAAGATCCCCAGCAGTGGAATAGCGGGGTCAAATGGGATTTCCAGCCCTAGTTCTTTGAGGTATCTCCATACTGATTTCCACAGTGGTTGCACCAGTCGACACTCCCACCAGCAGTGGAGCAGGGCTCCTCTTTCCCCACAGCCCTGCTAGCATTTGCTCTTGGCTGATTTCATGATAGCAGCCATTCTTTCTGGAGTGAGGTGGAATCTCAGGTTGCTGAACCATAATCTTAAAGGTTCCATTCCAAAATCGAAAGTTACAGTTTATCTGCTACAGCCTAGATAGTACCAACTACTAGATATGTAAGGAATTTGTGAATAAAATTAGACCACTGCTGGCCATGGCCTTATCTGCTTTCCAGGAGAGGAATTCTGTGAATCCTGACAGATCAGGCCGGAGGGGCTGGAGCCCCGCAGCAGGGATGCCCAGGAAAGGTGCTCAGGGGCAGGGCCCGAAGCCATGGAGAGAGAGGCTCAAAATCCGGCTTCCTGGGGAGACAGAGGCCTTGAGGTTTTAGAGAAAAGGGGAACAAAGGTGAGGGTTGAGGAAGTTTGCTGTCCAAGGGTCAGCACCTGAGAAGCTGGTGCTGCAGATGTCAAAAAGAATTATTCAAGGGCACAGGCCTGAAATCTCAGCGCTCAGGAGGCTGAGGCAGGAGGATTGTGGCGAGTTTGAGGCCAACATGAGCTACATAGTGAGAACCTGTCACACACACAAAAAAATCCCAATAGTGAGGAATATAGAAAAGTCAAGTTTATTGATAGACTTCAAGGGAGCAGTGGATAAATCCAAGGACGGTGGATGGAGGACGGTGCCCAGGGTGACAGGCTGAGATTGTTATGTTTGATTTGTTTGTTTGTTTGGTTTTTTGTTTTTTGAGGCAGGGTCTCCCTTTGTAGTTCAAACTGGCCCTGAACTCACTGTGTAGCCCAGGCTGGACTTGAACTCTCCAGTGATCCTCCTGCTTCAGCCTCCCAAGTGCTGGGATTACAGGCGAATGCCACCACACCTAGCATTATGTTTGATTTTAACATGAGAAAAGCTCAGAATACCTCGTCCGTAAGTGGTTTCATCAGGTCACTGTGGCTCTCTACTTCTGTCGTCTCAGTTTGGGAGAGCCAAGTCCTTGTAGGAAGATTGGGGGCTTTTTGTTTTGTTTTGCTGTTTATTTTGTACTATTGCTTCACATCTACTCCAACACTCAATATTTTTATACTTTTATAGCTAGCCAGGTGGGTGGCACATGCCTGTGATCCCAACATTGGGGAGGCTGAGGCAGGAGGAATGCTGGAAGTTTGAGCTCAGCCTGGAATACATAGCGAGACCTTGTCTCAAAAATAAATACATAATTAACCCACATTTGCAGTACATAACGATTACATTTATCATGGGGAGTTTGTGCATGTACAGAACACACATCTTGATTCTTTTTTCTTCTTTTATTTTCCATTCTCCTCTCCTCCCCCATCTCTCCCTTCCCATTTGAAAAAGATCTCTCTACTTGCTATAATCTTTTATTTTGCTCTTTATTTACATTTTGGCTTTCTCATATAAGAGGAACCATGCAATAGTTAAGCTGATGTGTCTGATTTATTTCACTTAACATTATGGTCAGAATGTGCATCCATTTACCTATAAATGCCTCATTTATCCTTCTTTATGGAAGAGTACTACTCCATTGTGTGTAACTATCACATTTTCTTTACCCATTCATCTGTTGATGGACATATAGGCTGCTTCCAAGATATATCTCTTATGAGTTGTGCTGCTATAAACATAAGTGTGCATGAATCACTGAAATATGATATCATTTTTTTTCTCCAGTACTGGGGATCAAACTCAGGACCTTACAATTGCAAGGCAGGTACAGTGCCATTGAGCTAAATCCCCAGCCCTGAAATATGTCTTTAACTCTCTCAGGCAGACCTGGAAGGGGAATAGCTGGGTTGAGTAGTTTCTACTTTTAGTTTTTGGAGGAAGCTCCATGCTGATCTCCACAGCAGTTGTAGTAGTCTACACGCCTGCCAGCAATGTAGAAGGCTCTTTCTTTCCCTGCACCCTTGCCAGCATCTGTTATTTGATTTCTTGATAACGGCCATTTCTTCCAGCTCTGGCTGAGGCCATCTCGGGACTGGTTCTGTGAGGTTTGGGAAGAGCCACTCTCCCTTCAGCGGCAGTGCCGTCCCTGGCATGAGAAGTGGGTTCTTCCCATCCTATGTGACGGCTCCCGCTGGGGTGGGGGTCACCTCCATATGGGGTGGTCTTTGAGGCTCTGCTTTTCGCAGAATCCGAGGTGACTGCAGGTTTGGGACGACTGGAGACTTTTAGAAGTCCCTCCAGCTCGGCATGGTGGCGCACACCTGTGGGAAGCTGAGGCAGGAGGATCACCACAAGTTCAAGGCCAGCCTGGGCTACATAGTGAGTTCAAGGGCAGCCTGAATTACATAGCCAAAGGCTGGCTCAATCAATCAATCAAATAACTCCTGGTGGTCTGAAGCTGGACTTCGGCAATTGATCACTTTGGTTACTCTTCTTGGTGTCATCAGCCTTGAGGGGGACAAGAGGCTCTGTAATTTCTGGGCTAATGATCCTTGCACGACAGATGCTCCTAAGAGGTGACCACGCCTGCGCACAGAGCAGAGCCAGGCAGGGATCTGACCTCAAACCTCGAGGTAATAAATCAGACGCCAAAGTGTGGGCGGAGCTGCCAAGCTTTCCTCAACTCTGGTCGCCCACTGGGCATGTGCAGGCCCCGCCTCGGGGTTCCCGCGAGTGGATCCCGCCCTTCCTCACTGCTACGCAGCCTCACACCCCACGGTCTTCCCGCCTCAAGTGTAGCGCCGCTTTGGGGTGGTCACAGACTTGTTCCACCATCACTGCTCCCTAATCTCGTGATTATTTTCAAGACCCCCAAAAGAAACCACCCCCAAACCATCGAGTCACCCCTCATTCTCTCACCTCCAACCACTAATCTCTACCTTGGGGGTGTTGGTTTTTGTTTGTTGGTTGGTTTGGGGTTTTTTGTTTTGTTTCTTTTTTTGAGACAGGGTCTTGCTATGTAGCCCAGGCTGGCCTTGAACTCACAACGCCAGGTGTCTTTTCAGTTTCTTAATGATATCATTTGTAGCACAAAGCCTAATTTGAGGACTGTGGATTTAACTCAGTGGTTTTGCCGCCTGCTGCGCAAGCGCAAGGACCCGAGTTCGATCCCCCCTACCAAAGAAAAAAAATCTAATTTGATATTATTTTTTTCTCGTATCACTTGTGCTATTTGTAGAATATGATCACTTTTACAAGCACGGTAATTACTTACTCTGAAAATATCATAATAAAGTATCCTTCCCACCTTGTGGTTGGAGGAAGTGAAATCAAAGGTGCCTGGCCAGCCACAAGACAGACAGGAAGTTGTTAGGAACTGCTTCCGCTGAATTCTTTCCCTATCCCGAAAACGCCCCTCTGTGTGTGTTACAGAGATAAACTACGGAGCGCACAGTGGGTGTTCAAAAACCATGCAAGAGGTGCTTGCGAAGGCGGCACTGCTCCTCGGTGGCAGCACTCTGGCAGAAGGAGGGACGCAAGCCAGGCATTTTCCGTGCCAGGCTGGGTACCACGGTCACTTACTGAAAGCCACGGCGGGAAAACCGCGGGCCGAGGGAGCGGCTCGCGGCGGCTCGCGGCAGCGCGCGCTCTGCTGGCGGGGGAGAAATCTGCCGATCCGCCCGCTCTGTGGTCCTAGGAATTAGACTTCAGCGGACTTCACAGGCTGCTGATTCCTCAGGCCCCCTCCAGAGGCTGCTGCGAGGGATCGCTCAGGGCTTCAGAGTGGATCTGCAGGGACTGGTGCTGTCCCCGAGACGAGCGAGCCTGCGTGGCCAGCCTGACTGAAGAAGACACGGAGCTGTGCACCAGGTACACAGAAGGTACCCGAGTAGCAGACCACCAGGAGGGCACCGGGTCTCAAAACGGAACCCACTGTGATAGGAAATAGTCCATTCTCAAAAGTGTTTTTGTTTTTTCTTTTCCGCAGCACGGCGTGGCATGGTAATCTCAGCACGCTGGGAGGCTGAGGCAGGAGGATCGCAAATCTGAGCCCCGCCTGGACAATTTAGTGACTTCAGGAGACCTTGTCTCAAAAAAAAAAAAAAAAAAAAGAAAAAAAATTTTAAAGTCTGGGGATGGCTCAGTACAATACAATCCAACAACAATACAAATCCAGTACAATGCTGGACTTCAATTCCCCAGTGCTATAAAAATAAATAAACAAATATTAAAAAGTAAAAAGGAGGCAGGTGTGGTGGCACAGCCCTGTAATCCCAGAACTGAGGATGCTGAGGCAGGAGGATTGCAAGTTCAAACCCAGCCTGGGTTATATAGCAAGACCCTGGTCTTACAAAAGGAAAAAATAAATAGGGAAAAAATATTTTACCTGGGCATGGTGGCGCACTCCTGTCATCACAGCACTTGGGAGGCTGAGGCAGGAGGATCGCTGTGAGTTTGAGCCCAGCATGTACTATATAGTGAGACCCTGTTTCAAGACAAAGACAGCAAATAAATGTATTCTACATGCTTGCTGCCGGGTGTATCTATAATCCTGACCTCTACCCTGAGCTCAAACTGAGCTCACCGGGCCGGCCGTGGTGGGTTGTGTGACCTGCGCTGCCACTGCCACTGCCCCAGCAAGGGCAAAGGTCACGGTGCCCCGCCCCGCCCTTGGTCCCTGCTTCCTGCTGACTCTGTCGGCAAATGGACCTGTCTCACTTACAGTCTCCCTTCACTTTGTTTGCCTTCACACTGAGTGACATCTTCAACTCTTTTATTTTATTTTTTTGGTACTGGGGATCAAATTCAGGACCTTGCACTTTCGAGGCAGGCATGGCGCCACTGAGCTAAATCCCCCTCCCCCAACTCTTTATTTTTTATTTTGAGACAGGGTCTTGCTAAGTCGCTGTCAAGCTGGGTTCAAACTTGAGATCCTCCTGCCTCAGCTATGTCCATTGTGTGTTGCATCCCTTGTGTGTGAACGTGTACTAGGGCTTATTTTCTGGGTAGGTCTAATTTTTGGGAAAATACAGTATGTAGCCCAGGCTGACTTCAAACTCAAAGCAATCCTCCTGCCTCAGCCTCCTGACTGCTGGGATTACAAGTGTGCACCACCACACCTGGCTTATTTTGTACTATGAAGTTATAAGTTTGATGTGAGGGAATAGAGCATGTCCCCACACCCAGTGTCCAGCAGTGTGTACATGTGTAAGAATAACTGAAGACGTAACAGTAACAGAATTGTGAAAGAGAAGGTAAATCAGCTATGTAAATTGGAAAACAGAAGGCGTATTCCTATTTTCATGTCACATACAACCCAGAAGTTTATTTTTGATTTTTGGGTTTTTTTGGTACCGGGGATCAAACTCGGGTCCTTGTGCCTACGCAGCAGGTGGCGAAACCACTGAGCTACATCCCCAGTCCCAACCCAGAAGTTTTTATCAATGTTGTGTCCGTGTATTAGGAGACATAAAAATACTTAGAAATTAGCCTACTTTGTTGGAGCCTTTGTTTCCTCCGGTATCTATAGTAACTGTTCTATTTTATCACTGTGGACAAGTATTTAAAGTAAGGCTCCACAGTGCAGTTCCAGCTTGCATAATTCTAAGAAGTGGGTTTCTTTTTCAAAATACTTTTTCTGTTTTCATTTTATTTTTATTAGCACGTATTTGCAGCATACAATGGATGTTCACACTCCTTGTGGGGAGTCCGTGCCTGGACATCACATCTCAATTTGTTTCGTCCCCTCCCATCTTCCTTCTCCTTTCCTTCACTGCTTGATTCTCTTCCCCTTTGCAAAAGATCTCTCTCCCTGTTTCCTATTATCTATCTTTCATTTTTCTCTTTAGTTTATTTATCCTTTGGGTTTCTCACACAACAGAAACCAGGTGATATTTGTGCTTGAGTGTCTGATTTATTTCACTGAACACTATGATCTCAAAGTGCACACATTTCCCTACAAAAGACTCAAGTTTATCCTTCTTTCTGGCAGAGTAGTACTCCATCATGTGTAAGTACCAGATTTGGAAAAGCAGATCTCTAGACGATGTGGTAATACATTTCTCTGCAACTGTACAATCACAGACATACTGCCTATATTCTTCAAAATTTGCACCCATAGTAAAATAGCAGAACAACCAACCAAAGGAAGATTTTTAACTCTCATCTGCTTCTCTAGGGATATCCTTTTCTCTCTCTCGTATTTGTTTGTCTTGGAGACATGGTTTTACTATATAGTCCAGGCTGACCTTAAACTCACTATGTAGCTCAGGCTGGCCTTGATCTCACAGCCATCCTCCTGCCTCAGCCTCCTGAGTGCTGGGATATCAGGAGTGTGCCACCATGCCAGGCTTCAATTTTCTTATGCTGTAATTAATATGCTGAATCAGACATGCACGAACCAGTTTGGCTTTGCTGTCACCGTGGTGTGTTATGATTAAAGTGGATCCTTGACATACAAACTCAATTCATTGGAGAAGACTGGTTGTAACTCAGGTTGGTCACTGAAGGGTCAGCCTCCTCTCCGCAGCCTGCAGAGTCTCTCTCCTGTACACAGGCGGATCTCAGTGTCCTTAGAGAGACATCAGCCCAGGATTTCTCAGTTAACCCTACACAGGAAAGGATGTTCCCATGTTCCTTCCAGACTCTTTAAGGGTTACATCTGTATCTGACACCATCTGGAAACAGAAGCAGCTGGCTCAAGACTTGGTCGCAAGTTAAAAACTATCATTCTGTTCATAACCCAAGTTGTTCATATGTCAGGCCGGTCGTAACTTGAGGGTTCACTGTATATTCACTCCATCTGTCAACATTTTATGTAAATTAACCATAAATTGAAATCTTCTGCTTCAGTGTCTTTTTTTTTTTTTTTTTTTTTTTGGTACCGGGGATCAAACTTGGGTCCTTGAGCTTACGCAGCCGGCGATGAAACCTCTGAGCTAAATCCCTGGCCCTTCAGTGTCTTTTTTGTTTGTTTGTTTTTTGTTTTTGGTACCGGGATCAAACTCGGGTCCTTGCGTTTGCGCAGCAGACAGCGAAACCACTGAGCTAAATCCCCGGCCCTTCGGTAACTTTTATTACTTGAATTAGCGAACAATTCAAGAACTTATATTCATTGCACCTATTCAGTGAATTATTGCTTTTGTTGTGATCTAAAAACATTTTCCTTGTCATTCACTGCCCTGTGTCACAATAATCTGGATGGCGCCCATGTCCCTTCTGCCACTTTCCCTCTCGATATCAGGATCAAGGTGTCATCCAGTGAAGCTCTGCACGAAGCCAGCTAAGCCACTGCAATCAAAATGCTTCTCCACGCTGCCTGCAGTCACCTCGGTGCAATGGCTGCTTGTGTGTGTCTTGAAATGGCAAAGTCACACTTCGCACCTTTCACACAGAGATCCTCCTGCCTCAGCCTCCCAGGATGCTGGGATTACAGACCTGTGGTACCACCATGCCCAGTTAAGAAATACCATTCTGGCGGGTGCAATGGCGCATGCCTGTAATCTCAGCACTTGGGAGGCTGAGGCAGGAGGATCCCTGTGAGCTCCTGGCCAGCCTGGGCTACATAGTGAGTTTAGAGGCAGCCTGTCTCAAAGGGAGACCCTGTCTCAAAAAAAAAAAAAAAAAGAAATGCCATTCTTATGGAGAAGCTAGAGTGGGGGCACCTGGCCTGGAATGAGCCGTGGCTCTCAAAGACACTGATGGCTTTGTTGAAACAGGACAGAGTAGACACACCTTGCAGTTAAAGAGAGCAAAATCCTGACCTCTGACCTCTGACCTCCATTTCCAGAGCAGGACAGAAGGACATGGAGCAATCCTATTTACTTCCTATCCTTGGAATCTTATTGTTCTAAAACTTGACCTAAAATAAATTAGTAAATAAATAAATAAATAACAAACTTGACCTGAAGGGGGAAGCCACAGAATAAGAATTATTTTAGCTTTGTGGGGCTTGGCCTGGCTTTGGGCCAGCTCAAGCGAGGCCCACCTGGTACGGTCACCAAGTAAGGCCACTTCGTAAGGACAGGTTGAAATTTCCCTCTACCTGGTCAGAATCGGACCTGCCCATAGGATAGGGAGTAATTTTCTCCCTGTACAATTCCAAGGGCTTTCTTCCAGACAGCACCAAGAGTTAGCTCTGGAAAGAGAAAAGAAACTTCTTTGGCCAAATTTGAACCCTTCCCTTCTGTTAGATGATTTAACCCATAAAACTGCAGCCAGGATGGGGTTCTGAGCCTGGGTATCTGCACTGCTCCTCAGTGAGGGATAGGACTGACTGGGCACCTGGGGGGGGTGCCCTCTTGTCCCGATGGGGTTGGCAGTGGTCCAGCATGACTGCTGGATGTCACAGTGGCTGTCCCACCATCCCTGCCTCCCCTCTGATGCTATCCAGGAGCTTGGTCCCATTCCGGGGATAGACCTGAACTAGTTCAGGCTAACCAATCACAGAAATCCTACCTCCTTTGCCAGGAGGTGGTTTTAGGGATAAAAAGGTTTTAATATGAGACAGAGTCTAAATCCCCTAGGCTGGCCTGGAACTCTTGATTCTCCTGCCTCAGCCTCTGGAGTAGCTGGGATTACAGGTGTGCCCTGCTGCTGCCAGCACCATCCCTTTATTTATTTATTTGACAGGGTCTTGCTATGTAGTTCAGGCTGGCCTTGAACTCATGAGGATCCTCCTGCCTCAGCCTCCCAAGTGCTGGGATTACAGGCTTCCACTACCGCTTAGCTGGCCTAATCGCTTTAATATAAAAGTGAATCTTCTTCACTCTGAGGTCCTGATGAGTAAAATTACACACGTGGATTCACTGTGAAGGATGCCGGCAAAAGTTCTGGAAATGCAGCTCAGCGTCACAGCGCTGGCCTAGCACATAGGAGAGTCTGGTTCGACTCCCAGCACCCCAAAAGAGAATGCATCCTGCAGGGCTGTCACCCCTTCCCTCCAACCAGGGGACTACTGCCTAGTTCTGAGAAGCTGCTGACACTGGGCAGCTTAACTCCATCCTTCCTCCGTGGGCTGCACTTCCAACATCTCGTCTGTCACACTCGTGAGATTTATTTGAATTCATCTAATTAGGGTAGATGAAAATTCCAAGACTTGGCTAAACTTTCATTCTTGCAAAAGCAGCCTTTCACACAAGGTTCAGAGTTCAGCCTCTGAAGATGCACAGCTGAGACTGCAGCCCCAGTTTCGCATTTCTACTCGTCCCCAAATTGATTCGGGGCCTGCAATCGAGTGCGCAGGGCATGTAGTACATGCTCAGTAAGCGGTGGCATTGTGAGGTCCACGGGGGCAGAAGTCAGGACAGGTCCACGCATCCTCCTGGCTGAGCAGCCGCCATGATCAAGGCCTTTGGAAACAATTCTGAGGACAGGGGTGCGTGGACTACCTGCAGAACCTTGCAATTATTTTAGATGGTTTCACTATGGAATTCAGGCTGCCCTAGAACTTGCAGTGATCCTCCTGCCTCAACCTTCCCATTGCCAGGATTATAGGCCTGCATCATGACGCCCAGCTTATGCCACATGTTCCACTGGACAAAGCTGCCAGCCCTGGACTTTAACAGCCAGGTTCACTTGTTGCACACAAGTTATACAATGTAAGGGGTGAAGAGCTCAACACATAAAACCCCAGCATCAAACAAACAAACAAAATGCTCCAGTGGGGCCGGGGATTTAGCTCAATGGTTCCGCTGCCTGCCTCAAAAGCGCAAGGTCCCAAGTTTGATCCCTGGTACCCAAAAAACCAAAATGCACCAGCATCTCACATTTCCTAAGCTCTAAATTCGCTTTACAAAAGCAAATTATGAAAAAGATGTGATGGGAACTAACAATGGCATATTTTCTCCTCCCTTATGGAAATCACAAGTCGACAGTATTTATGCCCTGTGGAGTTTCCTGCTCTCATTCCCATGGTCTGCAGGGGAAGCTGTCTTGAGGTCACCCAAAGCCAGGCGTGGCCCTGCCGCGCTCACCAGTGCCCTGGGAGCCGGGACAGAGCCAGTGGGGAGCTGGGTGTACACGGGTGCTGATCCAGAAACAGCATAACAGTGGGGTTTCTCCCGAGATGGCAGGTCTCCCGGAGGGTCCCTGTACCCTCCAGGGGGCCCTGAGGTCAGGGGAGAAGAGCAGGGTGCAGGCTCTGCGTGTGGCCAGGCCCACAGCCCCGGGAGGTTTCTGCAGCCACAGGGGACGTCCGGGGACCTGGGTGCTCTTCCAGGAGCGCTCACCGTGCAGTAGCCCATTCTGCTTCTAGATCTCTATTCATCAATCCTGCTTCAACTCTTAAACTCCAAAAGAGCTCAGCTGGGTGTGGTGGCGCATGCCTGTAATGGCACCACTTGGGGGCTGAAGCAGGAGAGTGCCCAGGTTCAAAGCCACCTGGGCTACATATCTAGACACTATCTCAAAAAAATAAAAATGAGTTTGATCCCCAGTACCAAAAAGCCCCCCAAAACAATAAATAAATAAGTAAATATAAAGCTCCAAAAAGTGCAGGAGAAGAAAAATAAGCCTTGCCTCTCTGTAACCTCAGAATTTAACCTTGCACTCATTCACCAGGTGCTGCCAAAAACCTCTGGGTGCAGCTTTGTGCTCCTTTCGGACTCCAAGCACTGCCTGGCATTTTATAAGACCAGGTTGGGAGCTGGAGGATGCATCTGCGGCTTCATTTAACGTTTTCCTTTTCCCATCTGTAGACTCAAGTCTGATCATGCAACTGTGCCATTAGACTCCTCTGCAACATGATAAACCTGTGCCTGGTGTGGTGCAGTTATGAAACATAAACTGCAAAAAAGTAAATGGTTCTATTTTCATGAGGAATTTAATTTTAATCTTGTTTCTATCACAGAGTAATTTTCATGAAAAGCTGTCTCTGGTCTATATCCTGGAAAGAGCCAGCCCGGTATGGTGGTACACATCTGTGATCCCAGCACTCTGAGAGGCTGAGGCAGGAGGATTGCAAATTTGAGCCCAGCCTGGGCAACTTTGTGACCCTGTATCCAAACAAAGAATAACATTTAAAAAAAAAAGGCGTGGGTGTGAAGCTCAGTGTGAAGGTCCTGGGTTCAATCCCAGTGCTGCATCCACCAGCTGTGTGCTAGGGAACTGGGTGTCTTCTGGTTTCTGCTGGGCACGTTTGACCTGTATCGCGTTAGATGAAGGATCAAAGGTGCACTGTACAAGAGCACTTTAAGAATACAAGGTCTTAAAAAAAAAAAGAATACAAGGTCTTGGGGCTGGGGATTTGGCTCAGTGGTTCCGCCACCTGCCTCAAAAGCAGAAGGTCGCCAGTTCAATCCCTGGTACCCCCAAAAAAGAATACAAGGTCTTGCTATGTGGCACAGACTGGTCTTGAACTCAGGAGCTGAAGTGACCCTCCTGCCTCAGCTTCCCATGTAGCTGCTACTGCACCCAGCTATACATTTGAATGAACATTTTCCCATTTTCCTTCCTCTTTTGTGATAGAACCAAGATGTCCTTTTTGACTTATTTGGAGTTAGTTTCACTGAAATTTCTTCTCCTTTTAGTAGAGCTGCTAATCTCCCATTTTAAAGATAAAGGGAAGCCAGGGATTTAGCTCAAAACAAACAAACAAAAAAAGATAAAGGGATTTCTACATTCTTTAATTTGAGGGTGGGGCTGAGACTGAGTCTCACTACAGGCCCAGGCTGGCCTCAAACTCCCAAGGATCCTCCTTCCTCAGCCTCCCAAATTCTGGGATTATAGGCACTACCAGCACGCCTGGCAACATTCTTTAAAAGACCTTCCTAAGGGGAAAGGAAAAGAGGGAAAGGAAAAACTATGAGAAAAGAAAAAAAAATGGAAATGAAATCTATGTAAATAGGGAAGGGCGGAGGGGGTGAAGGGTGCACAGGTAATGGGGAAAAAAAAATAAGAACCAAGATATATCATGTACAGGTACAAGCACCCCATGATAAATGTAAACGAACTGTATACCTAAAATGTACCAATAGAAGAACTAAAAAAAAAAAAACCCTCCTAAAAAACTGTTCATCTTAGCAACTCTGGTAAAAAGAAAAAAAAAAACCCAAATGTGACTTTCATTTTCTGCTGACTTTTATCAAACTTTCACAGGTCTGGCAGTGGGCATGAGGGCCCCGAGGGTTCTAGGACTCGGCCTCCCCGGTGTTTCGCTGCAGGGGCGCCAGGGTCACCCCCAGGTTCCTATCCTCGCTCTCAGTGCTGTAGAGGTCGTGCTTCTGGATGTAGTCCTGCACCAGGTCCGGCACCAGGTAGCGGATGCTCTGGCCACGGCGCAGTGCCCTTCGGATCTTGGTAGAGGAGATGTCGTTGGAGATCCACTCGGTCACCAGGTGGATGTTGCCCTGATGCTGCCACAGCACGTCCGATTCGTAGATGAACTTCTGAGCATTGCTGCCGGCCCGGGTGACACAGATGAGCCCGTAGTCCGCCACGATGTGCGTGACATCCTCGCTCTTCCAGAGGCTGGGCACCCCAAAGGACTCCAGCATGTCCGCCCCGCACAGCAGCTTCACCTTGGGCACACCTGGGCCAAAGAGAACAGAGCTCAGCCCCTGCTTCTCCAGCACTGAACGCCCAGGTGGACAGGGCGTGGTGGCACACACCTTTCATCCCAATGCTCAGGAGGCTGAGGCAGGAGGACTGCCACCTGGTCAAGGTCAGCCTGAGCTACACAGTAAGTTCAAGGGCACCCTGAACTGCATAATGAGACCCTGACTCAAAATACAAAAAAGTAAATAAATAAAACAGCAGTGTGGGTGTGTTTTTCAGGAAAGAGGGTTCCGCTTTTATCAGATTCAGGTTCCCAAAAAAACGATCCAGGACACCTCAAAAGTTAAAGACCACTGCAGGAGAGGTCGGCTCAAGGTGCCTTTGACGCTCCCTGCCCGCTTTCATAAAACCAACAAGGGCCATCTGTGTATAAAACATGAACTTAGAAAATACCAAAGGGAGCTGCTCAGTTCTAGAACCCAAGCAAGTCTCCTCTGAGAGTCTGGACAGAAAATACGAACCTTTTGGGTTTGGCTCCGGGGGTTTCTTTTGAGTGGAATTTTGTCTTTGTTCAGTCCACTTCCGCTTCCGGCCAGGCTTTTCCTGCACAGGGGAGTTCTGCTGCTGATTATAGTGGCCAGCCTCCAGCTTCTCTTGATGGTGTCTAGGAAACAACAAAACAAGTCAAGTGTGGTGGTGCATGCCTGAGACCCCATCATTCTAGGAGGCTGAGGCAGGAGGATCACCAAATTGAGCCTAACCTGGGCAACTCAAGGACTTTGTGAGAACCTGCGTCAGAATTTTAAAAATAGAAAAGGGCTGGGGATGTAGCTCAGTGTGAAGGCCCCGGATCCAATCCCAATACCACAAAAAATAAAAAATAGGCAAACCAGACAATACATCTTCCTCTTCCTCACAATGCTGAGATGTTGTCTGTCTGGAGATTCCTAAGTCTCTAACCCAATGACAAAGTGGGGCAACATCAAGGCATTTCACCCCATAAGCTCGACGCCCAAGCAGTCAGCATGGCCCACATGAGGTAAACCCCAGCACATGACTGGTGGCTGTAAGTGCTCTAGAGTCTGTGTGTGTCTCAGTAATGAGTGAATACTAACTATCCCTTATGTGTGTGCCATGCTTAATACTTTACATGGACTCTCTGAATTTTTTTTTTTGAGGTACTGGGATTGAACTGAGGGCCTCACACTGAGCCATATTTCCAGCTCTTTTAAATTTATTTTTATTTACTTGTTTGTTTTTGAAACAAGCTCTGGCTATGTAGTCCAGACTGGCCTTGAACTCTCCTGCCTCAGCCTCCTGAGTGCTGGGATTACAGGCATGCACCACCATGCCTGGCTTTACTTTTTCTTATTTGAGACAGGGTCTTAATTTGTCCAGGCTGGCCTGGAACTTGCCACCCTCCTGCCCAAACTGGGTGCACAGAGGTCCAGTGCCCCCTAGGGGCTGTCAGGGACGCAGTGCGCAAAGCCAGCAGGCTGCCCATCCCCCTCCTGCGCTACCTCAGCACCTTCACAGTCTCCACCCACTCCTTCTGCAGGCTCTCCCACGTGTCCACCTCCACCCAGCAGGAGGTCTTGGTGGCCAGCTCCGCCATGATGACCCGGTGGTGTGCTGGGATGAGTCCCTTCTTCTTATACGCGTCGCCCACGGGTGAAATGATGCCTTTGATCACTCTGTATTTTCCTGCAAAGAGACTTAGGTTTGCCATAAGGTCTAACACAGTAGGTTTCACCGCTGGGTGTGGTGGCGCACACCTGTGACCCCAGCACTCAGCACCTGAGGCAGGAGGATCCCCATGAGTTTGAGGCTAGCCTGGGCTACATAGTGAGTTCAAGCCCAGCCTGGACTATGCAGTGAGATCCTGTCTCAAAAAATCCAAAAGAAACAAAAACAAATGACCCTATACCGAGGAAATATTATGATCAATACTGTTGTATAATCACAGACAGATTCTTCCTTTTTTTTAGCTTTTTGAATTCTTTTTTTTTTTTTTTGGTACCGGGGATTGAACTCAGGTCCTTGCACTTGCGCAGCAGGCAGCGAAACCACTGAGCTAAATCCCCGGCCCCTTTTTTAGCTTTTTGAGACAAGGTAGGTCAGAGTGCCCTTGAATTCACTGTGATCCTCCTGCCTCAGCTTCTTGAGTGCTGGAATTACAGGTATATGCCACCATGTCTGGCTTATATTTTAATTTTTATTAGTATATGTTTGCAGTACAAAATGATTACATCATAGGGCAAGAGATCCAGCTCAGTCAGTGCAAGGCCGTGGGTTCAATCTCCAGCACTTGGAAAAAAAACAACAACATATTCTAGGATATTATCTTATTGCCAGAAGTGGTGGCACATGCCTGTAATCCCAGCACTCAGGAGGCTGAGGCAGGAGGATTGCCACAAATTCAAGGCCAGCCTGGGCTACATAGTGAGTTCAAGGCCAGAATGACCTGCATAGTAAGACCCTATTCCCCACCCCCACCCCGCAAAAAATTGTAAAACAAAAAAACTAAAACAAACAAACAAAAAAGATTACATTCATCATGGAGAGCTGATACACCCACAGTATACATCATATATATATATATATATACATATTTTTTTGGATCAAACTCGGGTCCTTGTGGTTGCGCAGCAGGCGGCGAAACCACTGAGCTAAATCCTCGGCCCGACATCATAATTTTTTAATTTCTGGATCCCCTCCCTCCTGCAGAAGATCCATCTCCCTGCATGCTAGTAACTGTGCAGAAAGACTACTCTGACCGGGGTGGGTGCCAGGCTGGTGGGGAGGGAGGAGCTGGAAACCAGTGCTGTAACAGAGGCCCGAGGAGGGGGCCCCCCCAGCTCCAAGGCTTGCTTCATCCACACTTCCAGGCTACTCTCCCCCTCTGGCCTCCTGAGCCAAGATGACCAAGAAAAGAAAATAGTGTTCATTTACCTGCACGGACAGAAACCTGGTCTCTAAGTGATCCAGGTAGACGTGTTAGCCCGTAAAAGCAATGAAGGCAAGGCTCATGGTTTCCTTGTTTCATAGGGGAAAAGAAATCTTGAGTGTTTTTTGTTTTTGTATTTTTGAGACAGGGTCTTGCTATGTAGCCCAGGCTGGCCTCAAACTCCTGGTGAACCTCTTGCCTCAGCTTCCCAAGTGCTGAGATTACAGGCGCGCATTAGCATGCCTGGCAAAGTTCTGAAAATTGGAAAAGCACTACTGTTCCTTCTGTGAGGCTTTAAAGATCCAAATCTGTATTTTTGATTGCGTAGACCCACAGCTGGATGCCCTGATCAGCCCTGGACATGACCGCCCTCCTTTTGGGCTAAGTCAGCAGGCACACATGTCTGTGCCCAGGTAACTAAACGTCCACACCCACACTGCAGCGGCCCACCAGCCTCAGCCGCTCCCAGCAGCCGCCTTACCTGTTCCGTCCATGTAGTCCTTGGCCAGCTCGAACAGCCTGAGGTGCATGTTGGTGATGGGGTTAAAGGAGCCACATGCCAGGAGAACCACTTCTGTCTTCTCCACTTTGTCCATGGTGAGAACAGGAAGTCGCTGATCTAAAAGCACAACTCTGATGCCTCCCCCATCATCTATATAGGACACAGAATGCAAATTTCATTACAGATTGTTTGAGACCCTCTCTATTCTCATTGCAACTAGATGGATACAAATATCTGGTGACAAATGCCTCCTCATCAATGTGAATGATCACCTACTTCTCTATTCTTTGTGACTTGCTTTGCCCAAAAGAATGTGACAGAAGTAGCCAGGTTTGGTGGTGCACACCTGTAATCCCAGCACTTAGGAGGCTGAGAGGATCACAGGGAGTTCAAGGCCAGTACCCATGTGACCTGTGATAGGTCTCCCACTACCTCAGCAGCTATTATGTATAGTAACTGCCCTCTTCCTATGGTGCCTTGCCCCCTCCCCTGTGTGATATCACGCCAAGATGGTTGCTCCCACCAAAGAATAAACTCTTCTTCCCAGCATGCCCCTGTTCCCGCCTAGAGAGTAACCTAACACTCCTCACCTCCTACCACCTAGTGGACTCACCGCCTCCTCCATTCCCTAGTCACTACTTCACTCAACCCCACCTCTGCCCCTACAAACCCCACCCCAGTCTCTATAAGAGACTCTCCCTGCCCCAGCCATATTGCTTTTGTCTTTCCTTTGTTCAGAGACAGCGCTGCAGATCTATTCCCCTAATAAAGGCGTGTTGTGGCCTGGTCTGGTCTTGGTCTTTGGCCTTTTACCTGACAACCTCCTCTTTAGAAAACTCCACTGTCTTGAGAACTAACCACCTCAAGAACCCCACTGACCTAATTTCCTTCCATCAAGCCCCATTTCTTTTTTTTTTTTTTTTTTGAGATTGGGTCTTGCTATGTCGGGCTGGCCTTGACCTCCTCCTGGTGATGCTCCTGCCTCAGCCTCCCAAGGGCTGGGATCACAGGTGTGCACCACCACACCAGCTTTAGGCCCTACCTCTTGGATGTCCCACCAGCTCAATACAGGAACACTGGAGACCAAGCTTCCAGCCCCTGAAGCCACACTTAAACCACAGCAGGGCTTCGTATCCTTCTGATCTCTGCACTGATGCTCCTGTCACAGAAAGCAGCCCACACCAGCCTGCAGAGGACACAGGAGGTGGGGGACTGGCTGCAGCCCATGGACAGCCATGCACTTACTGTGTGACTGCAGCTGGCACGCCCATTAACCCAGCACTCACGAGGCTGAGGCAGGAGGATCATCCTTTTACATAGTGAGTTCAAGGCCAACCAGAACTATGGAGAAAGACCCTGTCTCAAAAAACCAAACCAAACCAAAAAGTATTTAGGGCCTAGGGGTGTAGCTCTCATACAGCATTTGCTTAGCAAATGCAAGGCCACCCATCAGCAGCATCCCTACTGCCATAAATTAATTAACTTAATAAAAATTTGAGGGGGCTTGGGGATATAGCTTGTGGAGTGCTTGCCTAACATGCATGAAATCCTTGATCTGATCCTTAATGCTGCAAAAAAAATTTTTTTAATACAATTTTTGTCAGGAGCAATTCTACATAATTTTAGGGAAAAATAATTTCACAATTAAATTATAACTAGGCCTAGTTTTCCTGACTACAGGCCAGCTATGGCATGTCAAGACATAACTCCATTTTTGCTTCCAGTCACAGCTAAGACCTGAAAGGTCCAGGATTATATCAGCTGAAGACATCCTGGTTCCTTGAAAACCAGTAGTAAGGAAAGGTTTCACCTGGGGAGGGACAAATTCCTAATCAATGTAAGTTCCTCCTTGACCTAGGGTCTTCATCTGCATAAGTTCCCCATTGTCCTAGGATTATTGCCACCCTCCAGTTATCTGTTACTCCCCATCTACCAAATAAGTGTGGCAAGCTCAGGGTGCCTTGTCTCTGCCGCCCAGAACAGCACTGATCAGGCCCAAAGCTCAGCTTCTTCTTAAGTCTCCTTTCCTGTCTTTATTCATTAATTTGCTTTGTGCTGTTGTGGCTCACAGGAGGCCAGGCCTCAATGCAGGGGTTCTGGTAACATCCCCTTTCCCTGCTCCCTACAAACTTTTACTAAAATGATTCCTGGATACAGATTTTTAAATCACAGGATGAAAAAGGCCCAGAATGAAAACAACTATCCACATCCTCTCCATGCACCTGGACAAAGGTGACTGCTCTTAATTTTTTCTAATAGATTCTGTATTTTGAACTTGTAGTGCTATTTCTTTTTCTTTCTGTTTTGTTTTGTTTTTTTGTTTTTGTTTTTGTTTTTTTGGTACCAGGGATTGAACTCATTTCCTTGTGGTTGCAAGGCAGGTGGAGGAACCACTGAGCTAAATCCCTGGCCTTTGTTTCTGTTTTTGAGACAGGGTCTCACTATGTAGTTCAGGCTGGCCTTGAACTCATTATGTAGGCCAGGGTGGCCTCAAACTTGCATGACCTTTCTGTCTCAGCCTCCTGAGTGCTGGGGTTACAGGCGTGCACCATCATGCCCAGCTCCCAGCTATTTCTTAAATGATCTGAACGAAACACTGGCTAGTGACATTCTGCTCAGTTGAGCAAGGGTCCATGCTTATGGCCCTCGCTCCCTCTCCCGTACCCCCTGGATCAGTCAGGTTCTGTGGAGGAACAGCAGCAGCAGAGCACACAGCATCGGGAGTTTACCAGCCCAGCTCAGGAGGGTGCAGTCTGAAAGTCCCACTGGGGTTGAGTTCCTGAGGACAGCCAGGGAGACCTGAGCTTCCCTCAGCCCAACAAGGCAGAAGCCTCAGAATGAGAGAAGCAGGGAGGCCTAGGTCCCAAAAGCCCTCTAGGGAGCCCCCATGAACTGAGGGGAGTAGGCCAGAGCGGAAATAAAAGGAGTCAAGATGTGCTAGGTACATGGACCTAGAGATCACTGTAATCATTATGTACTGGAAACCTGTATTAAGAAAAATAAAAATTAAATTAAAAAAGCCAAATTCAGTGGTGCATGCTTGTAATCCCAGCACTCAGGAGGCTAAGCAAGAGGACTGCTGTGAGTTCAAGGCCAGCCTTAACTATGTAGTGAGACACTGCTTAAAACAAAACAACCAAAAAAAAGAGAAACAAACAAAACCTCCCCACAAAAATCAAACAAACTGCCAGGAATTTAGTTCAGTGGTGCTGCTGCCTGCCTGGCAAGCGCAAGGTCCTAAGTTTGATCCCCAGTACCAAAAAACCAAAACCAAACCAAACCATTAATCCTTTTATTTTGTGCGTGTGTGTGTGTGTGTGGAACCAGAGATCGAACTCAGAACCTTGTGCTTGCCAGGCAGGTGTGGTGCCACTGAGGTACATGCCCAGCCCCAACACTATTGATCTTAACTATCATAGTTCTACTGTTGGACATTTTTTCTAGTTAATCTACTTTTGGTAAGTTAGCTTTAAAAAAAAAAATTTTATTATGAAAAAGATTTCAAAAAAGAATGGCTTGAAAATGAATTGGAATTGAAGTTCAGCAGACCCTCAAGTTACGATGGGCCTGACATGCAAACAACTTGGATTACAACTGAATTTTAGCTTTAACTTACAATCAAAGTCTTGAGTTATAACCTGCTTCCAGATGGTGTCAGATACAGATGTAACCCTTAGAGTCTGGAAGGAACATGTCAACATCCTTTCCTGTGTGGGGTTAGAGGGCCGGGCACCACACCTGCCTCACAAGCACAAGGTCCCGAGTTCAATCCCCGGTACCAAAAAAAAAAAAAAAAAAAGAAAGAAATCACATTTAAAATTCAAATGAAGAAAAGTTTTTAAAACTCTGTTAACTCTTGTAGTTGTTGTACAATTTAAATATGAAATCTAAAGTCAATCCCAGCACTGGGGAGGCTGAGGCAGGAGGATCACCTTGAGTTCAAGGCCAGCCTGGGCTACACAGGGAGACCCTGTCTCAACTCCACTCCCTCAAAGAAGAGTATGTTTCTGAGATGACTGAACCCAGCAAAACGATGCCCATCTCTGCCCTTCCAGGTCTCACAGTGCTGCTTACTTGGCTGGAGCCGGTGCCCTTGGCCTTCGGCCCTGAAGGCGCTGCTGTCTGTATTTGGTGTAGGGTCCTTCAGTGAAGGCGTCTTCATGGTGGTGTTAACAGTCTTGGCAACAGACTGTGTACGTCTTTCAATACTGACTTTCTGAAGGTTCAACTTAATCTGGAGGTTGGCTATAAGCCACACACCACTAATCTGTATTTAGTTTCTACGGACACCAAAACTAGAGATGTGTGGAAATGGAATTCCTAATTAGACACATGTCATAGTGAAAAACATTTCCCTGAGAAAATTAAAAACATTCTACTAGCTGGGCTGGTGGTGCACACCTGTGATACCAGTGCTCAGGAGGCTGAGGCAGGAGGATTGCCACAAGTTCAAGGCCAGCTAAGGCTACCCAGTGAGTTCAAGGCCAGCCTGAACTACATAGTGAGACCCTGTCTCAAAAACAACACAAAACAAAAACAACACACATGGGCTGGGGATGTAGCTCAGTGGCGCCATGCCTGCCTGGCAAGGGCAAGGTTCTGAGTTTGAGTCCCAGTACCAAAACAAACAAACAAACACTCAGACACACACACAAGAACAAGCACACACCCCCTATGAGAGGTTGCATGGGTAGCTCAGTGGCAAAGAATGTACTTAGCATGCCTAAGGCCCTGGGTTCTGTTCCCAGTACTACTGCCTACCATAACTCACTAAATTCTACATGAGCTTTTTCTTTCTCTTTTGTTTTTTTACCCCCTTTGGCAAATACTAGGAATTGAACCAAAGGCCTTCACAGTGAGCTACAGCCCTAGCCATTTTTTATTATTTTTTGAGAGTCTCCTTAGTTGTTAAATTGCCTAAGCTGGGCTGGAACTCTCCATCCTCCTGCCTCAGCCTCCCAGAATGCTGGGATTACAGGCCACCATACCCAGCTGAGACTTTTCTTATTGTAGATGAATTTCACTGTGCTTGAATTTTATTTTCACTTTTTTTTTTTTTTGGTGGTGGTGGTGGTGGTGCTGGGGATCGAACTCAGGGCCCATGCATGCTAGGTACACACTCTATTACTGAGCTACACTTCCAGCCCTGG